TACCTAAAAAGAGTTTGTAATAATCCTTCAATTTTACAAAAAAAAAAATCAACCATCGTCCTTCCATAGATTGAAGTTATAACGCCGTTAAATTGGTAATGGATTAGGCATTATTTCTGCACCATACCAAAAGACATAGAATTCATAAAAAATACTTGGGGGATATGAAAATGAAATACGCGTTAAAGACTTACGTACTATTGGACATTGACCCAATATTTGTCGGGTCTTTTGGGTAAAGAATCTCTTGATACATGACTAATATACTATTGGACATTGACCCAATATTTGTCGGCTCTGTTGGGTAAAGAATCTCTTGATACATGACTAATGTACTATTGGACATTGATCCAATATTTGTCGGGTCTTTTGGGTAAAGAATCTCTTGATACATGACTAATAATAAAAACTTTACTTTCCCCTTTCTTTTTTCACTATTAAAATTTTAATTTCTGGAGAGACTTTTGATAGTTGAACGTTTTTTAAGTCTGAAATTTTAACATTCAATTCATCACCGTCACATTGTGGAAAAAGCTATATGAACCTCGACTAACCCAGGCCCCACCTCCACTGCTACCTAGTTCAAACTTCAAAGTTCCAGGATTCGTTCTTCTCATTATGAATAACAAGTTGTGATTTTTTTTTTTTAAATTTTATAATTATAATTATAATTATAAAATAATAAAATCTATTTTTTTTTTTGGTTTCCCATTCAGTATCCGGAGTTTCACCCTGACTAATCCGGACTCGACCGTATTATGCACCTGAAAATGGTGGGTGAATCTCCTAACGGGAGTTGCTGCATACACAAGGTCTCGAACTCGAAACTTTATTTAAATTGAAATAAATCGTTTATCACTTGATCCAACCTTGTTGGTTATAATAAAATCTATTTGACAAGTTAAATTTAACCATTCAACCTCTCGCTGTCCCATTGTTGATCCAGTCAGCCAGCCTTGACCACATATTTTAGAGATTCAATTCTATTTTCTAACCTTCGTGAATGGACCCAAAATTTAGTGATTGGAACTTTTTTACGCATTACAAATTAGAATAATTATTTTTTATGTGAAATTTAAAATTCTATTTTTAAAAAATTTCATGTCATAAACCTAAAATTTGATGGGTTTTTCTAGAATTTAGAACATCTTGATGCATGATTAATTAAAAAAATTTAGTCCATCGGGAGTATTAGCGTTTCACCGGGACAGGGACATGGGGTTTATCTTTACTCCCTTCTCTGCAAATTTGTAACATACTAAAATACATAAATTAATAAAGAAACTGAGTCTATCAATAAAATAAAAAAAATATTAAAATTGAAACTTGAATTTAAAATTATTTCAAGCAAAACTAGGATTTACTTTTCCCTTAGTCTTATATTAAAAAGACAATTTTTATTTTATGAAACAACTTAACAAGATTATTGGTTTGAAATCATTTGAGAGAAAGATAATAAGAAAAAAAAAAGTTTAAATCATAACCATACATAGATGAAAAAGTATCTTTTTATCAATAAGTTAATTAATTATGCTCTAAACTTTCTTTAAAATACATATTATTTTTAATTTTTAATTAATTAATAATTTAACTATCATAAATTTTTGAAATCATTTGAGAGAAAGATAATAAGAAAAAAAAAAGTTTAAATCATAACCATACATAGATGAAAAAGTATCTTTTTATCAATAAGTTAAT